ACATTTGTCACATTCGTTGATCTTGAATCCATTTTGACAATATTGTTTTGTCAAATATTTAGCGCCTTTGTTTAGGAGTCAATTTTAATCCATACATGGACTTAACAAGTTTACACACTTTGTATTTTTTATTAGGAGAAACGAACTCTTCATGTTGCTCCATGTAAATCTCCTCTTCTAACTCACCGTTTAGGAATGCCGTTTTTACATCCATTTGATAAATCTCAAAATTGTGTATTGCGCAATTGCAATTAACAACCTTATTAACGTGATTCTAGTCACGAGTGAGTAGGTATCAAAGGAGTCAAGTCATTCTTTTGCCTATATCCTTTAATAACTAATCTAACCTTATATTTATCAATAGATCCATCAGATTTTAATTTCTTTTGAATATCCATTTGCATTCTAAAGGCTTGTTACCGGGAGGTAAATCAACCAACTCTCACGTATGATTTTACATTATAGAATCTATCTCGCTATTGATAGCTTCTTTCCAATATGATGCTTCCAGTGTAGGCATTGCTTCATTGAAAAGTTTTTAGATCATCCTCTACCATATACATTAGAAAATCTGGGTTAAACATCTTGGAAGTGCTAGCCCTTTTACTAAGCCTTGGTTCTTCTTCATTTGAAGTTCCATTAGTAGTTTCATATATTCTCTTGTTAGAATTCGTATTTTCCTTATCTTTACAAGGAAAAATATTTTCAAAAAATTTTGCATTCATTGATTTGATTATGGTCCCTTCGTATACGTTCAAACAACCTCCCCAATTGGCTTCCACCTATTTAATCAACTTTAGACTTAGTGTTTATCGTCCTTATAATTAGTATAAGAGTTTTCTATCTTTCTACATTCATAGGTATTTTTCTATGATTATAACATAGAAGCAAATATAACTGTTAAACTGAGTTATCTCCACAATTCCTCAATTAGGAATACATATACAATCTAGTAATGTTGCATTTACAAGTTGTGAATCCATTATATCTTGAGAGACATGTGTCATTCACCGTAGTGTGACAATTTGTTTTAAGGAAAGAGATAACGTCTCACCTTGGATTATTCATTATTTTATACTCTTTCTTAATTCTTGTTTTGCATAATCGTTTACGACATTTATATATATCAAAACTCTGTCCAAATTTTCGTTCACATAAATTGTGTTTAGATCACAGTTCTATGGGTTAAAACTGATCGAACAAATATATCAAAAACCAATCATATCAAAAATCAATCCTTACATAGCCCGTTTCTATAAGTCGTCTCCAATAGTTTCTCTAATTTTGGCTGTGGTGTATTGGTGGCGGTGGTAAAGGTGTAGAGGCGTTGTTTGGTGGACTAGTGGTGGCAGGTATGGGTGGGGATTAAGGTGGAAGAAGTTGAAATTTATTCTTTTAAATCATTACTTTCCTCATTTTATTATGAATATTTTATTTATTTATTTTTAAATTAAGGACCATTTTATCACCGGTAATTAGAACATAACGTTCCTACCTTTTATTATTATTGTGAAAAACGTCCATACCTTTCATTTTTTGATATTTTCACCCTTAATTACACTGTGCAAAACATCATTTTTTTTTTATCCAATTTCTCAATCCCGCCACCGAAGGTCAACAAGGTTGAGAGACATGAGTCCCAAAGTGAGCCTCGACATCATGCCATCAAAAGCCAAGAGTAATACATCACAAGAATGTGAATGAAAAACTCCATGTGGCAACATTCATGCTCCACCGCCATTCTTCTAATTTATTCTGAACTCCTAGCCGTAAATAAATAAATATTGGTCGATAATTGTGAGAAGACGAAAATGGGTTGGAATCGGAGAGAAAAGGGAGTGATGATTGCTCTCTAGCTGAAATAGGCTAAATAAAAATTGGGACTCGTTTGAACTTTTTAATAAAATTGGGATTGTGGTTATAATTAGTTCTTTAGTTTTCTTTTTGTTTTATTTAAATATAAGCGTATATTAGTCATTTTACATCTTTTTATTGAGAAATTGGATGAAAATGATGTTTTGGGCAATCAAAGGTGAAATTAAATATGCAAATGTCAAAAAATAGAAAATATAGACGTTTTTCATAATAATAATGAAAGGTAGTGATAATATGTGCTAATTATCTTTTTATCATTTGTAAAGTTTGAATTTGACGGTCAGATGGATTTTGACTGGCAGTGAATTGGATGGAATCCATCCTTTAGATGAATGTCGTCAATTTATTAAAAGTTGAGGACATAACCATTGAAAAATAAAAGTTGGGGATGAGATTTCATAAGAAATCAAAGGTTCTAGATGTTTGTTGCAATTAAGCCCTTCCTTTAGTATCACAACCAGATAAGACTAAACTTTCTTAGCCGTTGAGGCGATTGTAATGCATTCCATCTATTTTAGAATCCTTCGATTCATTGATAATTCACTGTAAAACACAAATAATTGTTTATATCCACTCTAGAAGGTTTGATTTCTTAGATTTTGTCTCTACTTTATTCTCTTTATATAGTACGTGATTTGTTCTTCTCATCTCCGTTTCATGTGGAAACCAGATCATCACGAGAGAGAGAGATTGCAATAATTATTTATGTGTTACAAAATTCAAATTGTGTCGATTGAGAGAGAGAGAGAGAGAGAGAATTGCAATAATTATTTAGTTGTTACAAAATTCAAATTGTGTCGATTGAGAGAGAGAGAGAGAGAGAGAGAGAGAGAGAGATTGCAATAATTGTTTAGGTGTTACAAAATTCAAATTGTGTTGTCCATCTGTACGTGTGTGCACCACAATGTTCATCCCAGCAGTGCTAAGACAATGTCAACATCTATATTACTAATATGTATCACAAATACTGAAAATTCTCAATACTCTTCACGTAATGTCATACCACTAGTTGTTATGCACACTACGTTACATAATTGTTGGACTATTATTATGACGTGACTCAATGGTAAGTTAACATATCACACGTTACTTACGTTGAAAATATGTCACGACATAACTGTCAATTAAGTAATTTCATAAATTTGGTAAACAACAGGTTAGGGAGGGGGTGAAATTTGAAAGCAAAATCAAAGTTCAGCAACCTAATTGACGCAAAGTTGAATAGAAATTCAGTAATTCAATTAAGACAAGTTAAATTTGAATGATCCCATGAAGAAAATGAAATTCATTACTTTTCAACTGATGAATTACAGAAACATTCTGGGTAGTGGAATGAAATTTGACATCTACAACCACACCCATACTAAATCACAACACAACACAACACAAATAAATTGGACATACCAATTGGAAAATACTATAATCTTAAAGCTTATCATCCAATTACAGAACTAGGAAAAAATGTACAAGAAAAATATCATGATTCATTTTTGACATTAATGATCTCTGCCTTGGCTGATGCCCGAGGAAACTGTTTGAGTTCATTCAATATTGACTGACCTCCATCGGAGACACTTCCAGCGTGGGGCAAAATTGCCATTTCCTCGAGTCCAGTAGCGGATGCCAACAGATATTTAACAAATTCCATTTCAGGCTCGACCCCGGAGAATAGAAGCATATCCACAGTTTTAAGCTGAGCCAACAAGCAATCCGAGCTTTTTTGTGCACGGAGATATTCTCCCACGGAATCCACAACATCGAAAGTGAAAGCCTAAAAATTAAAGGACATTCGTTAAATAGGTTCCATAAGGAAAGAAAGACGAATCGCATAAAAGTTTAAACAAAAGGAACAAGAATAGAATTTAGACTTGCTGTAATTTTAAGCTTTTGTAAATTGGGAGAGCTTCTAATCAGACAAAGAACACAACAGATCTCCTCGATTTTTTCGAAATACATATCGGAGAGGTGAAGAATTTTCAGAGTTTCCAAAGTGACTGGAAGTTTCTTAGGTAAACCATCTTCAGCAAGTTCCTAGTAGCAAAAATGCAGATGAAAAGTTAGAGCCAATAGATAATAATTGAAAGAAACAAGTTTTAGGATAGAAAAACTTATACTTAGGATTGCAATATCCTTACCTCCAAGGCGAAAGCCTGAAGATGCAGTTCCTCAAGAGAAGGCAGACAACTTAGAGACTTGATTAAATTAGATGAGAAGCATTTTCCCGTTCCAAAATCAATGGAAGAGAAAGATATAATAACTTCTGCAAGAAGAGGGCTATTTTCGAAAGAGATGGATCTGAATACCCCGTGAAACTCTAGAAACTTCAATTTGGAAGCATCAATTTCAAGGCAATCAAAACTGGTGCAATCAATCATCCTCAATCGTTCAAGCATCAGGCAAGCTGAGATAAAGCTTGCAAATGTTTCGGGCACAAGGTCAACATTCTGAAGATCGAGATTCAGAAGCTTATTAAATCCTTTGCCCAGCGGAGGATTTAATACGCATCTATAAAGTTTCAGCTTTCTTAGCTGGTTAAAAGTGAATATACGAAAAGGCAATTGATGGTTGTCCCCCCGAGAAATGTGAAGGGTGAAATCCTGGATAGTGTTGCTTGGAATAAGATCAACCCATTGATCAATATCTGGGCAACTTCTGAAAGCAGGGACCTGGAGGGCAAACTTAATCAAGGGTCCTTGATGAAGTTCTAGAATTGGGTACACGAGTTTCTCAAGTTTGTGATTCCCAAGGAACATCTGATCGAACCAAAAATCAAACACAAGTTCTGGACATGTTACCCATTTGTACCTCCATTCTCTTGACAAAATACTCGTCCTCACTACATCCCGCAATGGCAAACATCCCAAGATATTCTCTATGATACTTCCCGGAAGATTGCTGATCAAATCTGCCTCAGATCTTCCACTACACATTCTGATATGTTTACGAAGTAAAACTGCGAATCAAGAAAATCAATCATAATCCCATATACTTACAACTTTTACATAATTCATCGTCAAAGATGAACTACACAAGGAAGAAAATGTAATGCTATGGTGAACTTAAAATAATCAACTCATTCCTAACGAGAACTCAAGGATCGTGGGAATGCTAATGAACAATCAGTATATATCAAAGCTTGAGAATGGGACATCAAACTAATTTTGGGCCAGGTCAATCTTTTTCAGTAGATATTTCACCAATAATTGTGGCAGAATTTAATTATCATCCACATAAAGCACATTAACCATACATCTCTTGTCTACAAACAAACAAAATACGCCCTTGTTCTTGGTAAATTTAGAGCTGTCTTGCATTTATCATTTTTAACTACTTTGTTCAATTATTCAAAGTAATTAAATCTTTAACCAACCAACTAGACATGTTATAGTATATAATTGGAATGTTCTTAAAAGTAACTTTTTCCCTAGAAATTTAACTTTTAAGAACAGCCAAACATAGGGCTAGCAAAATAAGTAGTTCTTCTTCTCTATGAGGAATGAGTTTTCTCAGGATGAGAAGAAATTTCCTTAAATAGATTCGAAGTGAAACACTTCCCACATTTTCTGGTATTTGGTTAAATAAGCACAATCAAGAAAATTATTTTCCATGGTCAAGTTAAAAGTTTTTGTGACACACGATAGCTTCCACACCCACGTGCCCACCAACCTCACCCACCACTAATGGTTATTTGCGGCGGCGCATGGCTGACGGTTAGAGGTGATGGAGGCTGCCATAAATGGTTGAAGAGAAAAAATAATTTCAAGAGGTGGAAAATATTTTGCAAATATTTAGAGAACCATGAAAAATAGATGGAAAATTTGCTTCCTTTCTATGGTAAATATTACATAAAGAAATTCATTTCCATTTTCAGATATTTATATCCTCAACAATTTGCAGCCCCAATATAACAAAATATTAAATTAATTCGCAAATCTTAGTCAAATTAAAATTAAAAAAAGAAAAAAAAATCAGATATACATTCAATTATTTTTACAATACAAAAGATCGATTAACCATCATAACTAAACGAGATTTCAATAATTTATGTAATTTATTTTTCCCCTTCTTATTGCCCCAAATTCAGAACAAAAAAAAATTATCCCCAAAATCCCATCTCCCGAAATAATCAATATCACTGGAAGATACATTAATCGCATTAACCCATAAAAAAGCATCAATTCCAACATAAAAAATAATAATAATAACATAAACAGATCAATCCATACAGCAAGAACGGGTTTATATCCTTACCGATTCCCCGGTTCCTTTTTTCTCAGCTTGTTTTCCGGCCAGACAAGATAAAGCAGTAAATGGTTTTGCAATGATCGATAAGGTGGGTTAGGCTTTGAATTGCGTAATTTCGTTCATATATTTGATTATCTATTCTCTTTAACGCCGTTGGTCCATGGCAGAGATAAAAGTAGGGAAAAGGCCCTGCACAGGCCCTTTGCTAAACAAAATGTCTTGTCTCAGGCAGGCGGAAACAAGTGTGGGACCCTTTCTAACTGAGGTGATAAGAAAAAGGCCATATCAATAATCAATATTACCTAGTTAAAGGCCTCTCATCTTATTGTAGGTCCATTTTGCTCCTGTTTGAGCTTTCTCTCTCTCTCTCTCTCTCCCTCTTTTTTTTTTTTTTTTTTTTTCCTTTCTTTTTGAAATAGTAAGATCGCATTCTTTCCAAAAAAAAAAAAATACATTTTTAAATAATATTTTGATATCATTTCAATCACACAATTTTCAATAAAATAATATTACATGTAAATATAAAACTTTTACTTATTTGTTAACCACATATTTCTCATTAATACATTATTCAAAAATTCATTTTCTCCCCAAAAATGGGACTGAGACAAGGCCTAAATGGATAGAAATGTTTGACCAAAAATACGAACAAATTTTGAATTTGCGTATAGTATTATTTTATTCAGAAGTTTGTAGAAGAGAAATATGAATTTGGATATTTAAGCAGAAAGTGGATATCAAATATGGGCTTAGTATCAATTTAAAGTTACTAAAGTGGTCAATAAAAATGCTAATTTAAAGTATTTCTTTTCTATAAGTGCTTAAGTGCCAGCTATAATGCAATTACATTAGAAATGAAAAAAATGTCATTTCCTTTGACTTTAGGACCATTTTGTGTTGAGTGATGCTATTGAACTTCATTATGATTGCTATCTCAATTTAGGTGGTGCTAAAGTGACATTAATTGATATATAGAATTAAAAAACCCATTTAATTTCATATTTTATTTAACCTGTCATTTAGTGTCACCTAAACCTGAGATGCAATCCTAGTGAGTATGCATAGCATTGTATTTAAGGTATGGGAGATCGACTAAAAAAATAGAAGAGTGACAAGTTAGGCAAAATTATTACGTAGCCCCTATTATTTCGAATTTTAATGGGTATATATATATATATATATATTATTTTTAAATATGTAAAAAAAAATTTAAAGTTTTTGAAAAAGTTGTGCATGAAAATGCTAATTTAAAATATTTCTTGTCTATAATGTACAAAATGTTGATTTATGGTTGACTTTAACATTATAGTTTGATCATAATCAACAAGTTAATCTTGTTTTCTAACAATTGAATTTAAATGATTATACTATTATAGTGTTCAAACATTTAATGACAAATTGATAATTTTTTTGTCAAAGAATCAAAATAAGACTATCAAATCGAACTCATAATGAAAGTCCAGATCGAAGCCAAGCCTTTCAAGCATTCCAAACAAGACCCTTCAAAACTAGAGCTAAGAGCCGAACTTCAAAAAATGTCAAAGTCTAGACCTTTTTAGATTAAATGTAAATGTACTAATACTTCAATCTTTAGCAACAAATATTTAAAAATCAAAAACTATTTTGTGCACTAAAAGCTATTTTCGATTATCGTTTGCATAAAATATTTTTATTAAAAGTAAAATTGATTTTCAAAAAGATATTTTAATTTAGATCATATTTTTTTTATCATTTACCTAAAAACTAGTTAAAAGTACCTTCCAAAAGTCGATATTTTTCGAAATGGGGTCAAAAATTGAAAAATCGACCGAACTGATCAGACATCTAGACACTTGTCCGAACTCCCAAGAGGTTTGTGAAAAGCTCTCTCTATAAATTGCATATGAAGATTGGCCAGATCGATAGACGTCCGAAAATCTCAACGATCAAATTTTTGACCTTTTGATTTCTAACATCTAACAGCGACCTTTTATGCGTTCGAACTTGAGGCAGAAGTTTGGACCCTTGTTCGTTCTCCCAAAAACAAATTGTTCTTTTTCTCTATAAATAGCATCTCTCTTTGCATTCGTTGTAAGAGTTTTCAACTGCATTGAAGAGAGAAATATTTGAGCAAAATCTTTTGAATTTACATTACATTCATTTCTTCTATTTCTTTTCATCAAATTTTTTTATTAATTGAATCAAACTTTTTTAAATCATCATTTTCATCAAAGTTTCTTATATCTCTCTTGGTATTTAACTTATTGATATAATTCATAAAAGAAAGATATATTTCAAGGAAGATATTTGAACTTACATTACATTTATTTCTTCTACCTCTCTATATGAAAAACTTTGATTGATTGAATCAAATTTGAAAAATAATCATATTTATCAAAGTTTCTCATCTTTCTCTTGGTACATAATTTATTGATCGAAAATGATTTCCTAAATACCGGTGCTTAGCTTATGTTAAGCATCGATGACTTGATACAACATTTAATTGGTGAATAAGTTGATGATATGTCCCATATATTTAATGATTCACCAATTAAGTGATATACCATGTCACCGGTGTTTAGGAGATCATTCCTTATTCATTGAAAGATAAACAAATTTTTAAACCTACATTGCACTTAATACTTAATTCATTTGTATCATTTATTAAGGGATAAATTTCATTGTAAAATTAATACTTTAAACTTGTGAGTTCACATTGAGATCCCGTGAAAGCTTAATAATATGATGATCGGTGCTTCTTATTGTAAGTCACTGTGTGGATCATATTGAGGTCCGTGAAATCTCAATATTTATAAAAATTGATGCTCATTGTTTGTACGATACTGAAAGCATTATAAGGGATTGAATTGCACCATAAGTCAATCAATATAGTAAAAATGCATGATCATGGTGAAGAGCTTAGTAATGGAGGACATAGATCATTGTTTTTAATCGAACCTCCATACCTATATCGTTTGCATAATCTCTTTCATTTTACTTATCGTTATATCGTTTACGTCTACTATTTGATTGGTTTATTTGTTTTTGTTTACGTACAATTATTATTTAATCAATCAACATGCTCTTAACTTGCTTCATTTAAGTTTATTTTTCAAAAAAAAAAATTTAAAAATCAATTCACTCCTTCTTAATTAGTCATTCTTGGGCTATCACAATACCCTATTATGCAATTGTACAAGGAGAGAAAAATATCATAAATTTTGCTTGTTGTACAGATGATTTTACCTGAATTTTTATAGATGATGTGTTGGCAACACTGAATTTACTGGTATGAAGTTATTTTTTGTCCAACATTCAATGAAATTGTGCCAAATGACAATTTGACAAAAATTTCTATACATGTATCATAATTGAAGTATCACTCATCTACTTATAGGACCATTTTGTGTTTATTCATCACGTATTAGGTGTATGAGATTAGAGATGGTAAATAGAAATTGAAATTTGATAGTTTCATAACTTATTTTCATCTTTAACATTGTTTAGTATCAAGGTTTGCAAAGAGTGGTATATGCATGTACGAGAAAGAAAAATATCTCATGAAATAAGGAAATTTGTTTTAATTTGGATGTCCTTTTATCTAAAGGGGAGGAATGTTCTCAAGAAGATTTTTGTTTTTGTTAAACGACTCCTTAAGCATAAATTGCAATGTAATTAGCTATTTTAGTAAGCTCGCTATATAAGATTATAATAAAAAATAAATAAGATTAAACTCGGGACAATAAACCCCTATTTGATGTAGTTAAAAATCAAAATTTTAATGGATTTTAATTAAAGTTGATGAAATATGTAATTAAAAAGTTGAAAAAAGTTTAAATATGGACTCAGAAAGAATACGAATGCCATTAAAACCACATGTCCATATTCTTTTCCAATAATCAATCTTAAAAGTCGATTAACTATCCATCTTTCTTGTTGACTTCTGAAACCCTACGAAATTTAGATAAGAAGGCATGCCCATACTAAATGTACCTTTCCTCAATATTTTAATAATCAAGTTGATATGTTTTACTTTTTATAAGACAATTCCATTTGTACACCACCCCTCACATGTGGGCGCCCACGATATATAAAAAATTTGTGAGCCTCTATATTAGAATGTACATATAGCAACTTTCTTTTTTTTAAGCAGTTAGTCATCTCGTACAGGGATGTTTTGTCAAACAGAGTGCGTAACGCTGGATTGATAGTGTTTTTCTTTTTTTCTTTTTTTTTTATGCCAACTGTCAATGAAAAATTGACAAATATCCCCCTACATAAACTCTAACAAAATCCTCTATACATGTAGCAGCATTTTATTGAGGAATACACCGATTATGTGCATATTATATTCACAAAAAGTATACCGTTTATGTTCACGAAATCGAAACCTTACCGAAATGGAGTTTGAGAAACTAACCAATGATTATCGAATCTGACCATTTTCATTCTTGAATTAAAATATGTGATTCTTCATATTAAACATTGCATAAACCATACAAATAAAATTAATCATTTTTTAAAATCAAGTAGAAATGAAATCAGAAAAAATTAGATGTAAGTGATGCGATTGGTCGATGCGAGTATAACTATTTCTTTAAAATGAATTTGCCTCGCATCGGTGCTAAAGATTTTTCGACAATCATCTCCTAAGATACAATGATTACGTCAAGCCATAAGAGCACTCCAAATGACTTCGACCAGCGAACTCGAATGAAATTTCTTCTCTACCAAGAAAATGCATGAAAATGCTATGGAATTAGAAAGAAGAGAATTGCGAGAGGAAAATGAATGCTCAATGCAATTGGTGTACCCAGAATCATGTCCATAATATTCTATTTATAGATGTAGAAATGGTGCAAATGAAGTAGTGTGGACCAAAACATGCATCCTTTAAAAAAGTTGCAACACTTGGTCAAAACCTGCATCCTTTCGAAAAGTTGCAACACTTCATTTCTTCCAATTTTGGTCCGCAATTTCTCATTTATCCGGAATTGGTTTCGAGATTCCAAATATACCACGACGATCTACTCGACGAGTAGAATAAGTTGGTCTATTTACTTTTGTAATTTGACTATCGGATCAAGTCTGAATATTTGGTCGAAATTGACATATAGTCACATATTTTCATTTTTCACTTTTACAAACCTTTTCATGTTCCAATTTTTGGTTAATTATTTGAACCAATTCCTACACATTTTTCTCTAAGAAGATACGTTATTCAACTCTCCTTCGTATATTTACAGTGTAAGTGCTTGAAAGTGAGGCAAAATTTTT